AAAAGATACAAAAGACTATCCCAGAGCAAAATACCCTTTGGTGGTTTTGTTTGTTGATAGGGTCTATGACCATAGTAAGCGCTTAGTTTGTGGACATTTTCTGCTACTAATTCCTGTCAGAACAAAAAGAAAGAAAGACAAAAGTTCAAGTCTATTCACTCTTTATCACTCCATGAATGTTTGAACAGCAGGCAGCTACAGTAAATTGTTACCTGATTGAGACTTCCTGCCAGGAAAGCCCTCTCAGTGCCATTGCTGATAAAGGCGGCAGCTTGAAAGTATTCTCAGGCTGGTTAGGTAATTATGAAGGGAGGATTTACAAGGCCCCAGCCCTGGAGGCCTTTGTAAAATTTATTTTGGTCCTTTGGCCCTTTGAGTCATACTTAGGAATTAGTGAATCCAACTATATGTTTTTTGAAGCAGGCAGTAAAAGAAAAACAGGCAAAAAAAAGTATTTTACCATGAACACCTCATTTGCAGTGTATTCTCTCCCAAAGTTCATTTAGCTTGAGAAACATGTTGCTCTTACAACTGTTTTGTTTGTTTGTTTTTGATAATTATCACTAAGAATCACTCTGTTATATGCCTTACTCAGCACTCCAAGCTGACTGGAATTGTATAAGATCAATATTGAGAGAAATAATTGTAGTTATTTATAATAGTTGCTAATTTTTTTTTCCATTTATTTTTATTAGTTGGAGGCTAATTACTTTACAACATTGCAGTGGTTTTTGTCATACATTGAAATGAATTAGCCATGGATTTACATGTATTCCCCATCCCGGTCCCCCCTCCCACCTCCCTCTCCACCCGATCCCTCTGGGTCTTCCCAGTGCACCAGGCCCGAGCACTTGTCTCATGCATCCAACCTGGGCTGGTGATCTGTTTCACCCTAGACATACATGTTTCGATGCTGTTCTCTTGAAACATCCCACCCTCGCCTTCTCCCACAGAGTCCACAAGTCTGTTCTATACATCTGAGTCTCTTTTTCTTTTTTTGCATATAGGGTTATCGTTACCATCTTTCTAAATTCCATATATATGTGTTAGTATACTGTAATGGTCTTTATCTTTCTGGCTTACTTCGCTCTGTATAATGGGCTCCAGTTTCATCCATCTCATTAGAACTGATTCAAATGAATTCTTTTTAATGGCTGAGTAATATTCCATGGTGTATATGTCCCACAGCTTCCTCATCCATTCGTCTGCTGATGGGCATCTAGGTTGCTTCCATGTCCTGGCTATGATAAACAGTGCTGCAATGAACATTGGGGTGCACGTGTCTCTTTCAGATCTGGTTTCCTCAGTGTGTATGCCTAGAAGTGGTATTGCTGGGTCATATGGCAGATCTATTTCCAGCTTTTTAAGGAATCTCCACACTGTTTTCCATAGTGGCTGTACTAATTTGCATTCCCACCAACAGTGTAAGAGGGTTCCCTTTTCTCCACACCCTCTCCAGCATTTATTGCTTGTAGACTTTTGGATAGCAGCCATCCTGACTGGCGTGTAATGGTACCTCATTGTGGTTTTGATTTGCATTTCTCTGATAATGAGTGATGTTGAGCATCTTTTCATGTGTTTTTTTGCCATCCGTATGTCTTCCTTGGAGAAATATCTGTTTAGTTCTTTGGCCCATTTTTTGATTGGGTCATTTATTTTTCTGGAATTGAGCTTCAGGAGTTGCTTGTATATTTTTGAGATTAATCCTTTGGCTGTTGCTTCATTTGCTATTATTTTCTCCCAGTCTGAGGGCTGTCTTATAGTTTCCTTTGTTGTGCAAAAGCTTTTAAGTTTCATTAGGTCCCATTTGTTTATTTTTGCTTTTGTTTCTAAAATTCTGGGATGTGGGTCATAGAGGATCCTGCTGTGATTTATGTCAGAGAGTGTTTTGCCTATGTTCTCCTCTAGGAGTTTTATAGTTCCTGGTCTTACATTTAGATCTTTAATCCATTTTGAGTTTATTTTTGTGTATGGTGTTAGAAAGTGTTCTAGTTTCATTCTTTTACAGGTGGTTGACCAGTTTTCCCAGCACCACTTGTTAAAGAGGTTGTCTTTTTTCCATTGTATATCCTTGCCTCCTTTGTCGAAGATAAAGTGACCATAGGTTCGTGGATTTATCTCTGGGCTTTCTATTCTGTTCCATTGATCTATATTTCTGTCTTTGTGCCAGTACCATACTGTCTTGATGACTGTGGCTTTGTAGTATAGTCTGAAGTCAGGCAGGTTGATTCCTCCAGTTCCATTCTTCTTTCTCAAGGTTACTTTGGCTGTTCGAGGTTTTTTGTATTTCCATACAAATTGTGAAATTATTTGTTCTAGTTCTGTGAAAAATACCGTTGGTAGTTTGATAGGGATTGCATTGAATCTATAGATTGCTTTGGGTAGTATAGCCATTTTGACAATATTGATAATAGTTGCTAATTTTTAAGTACAGACTATATAAGAGGAGTTATGCCGAGTGTTCACATACATCATCTATTTAGTCCCCACAATAATCTATGAATTAGACATTCATCCCCATTTCATAAATGAGGAAACCAAGGCATAGAGGGGAAATGAGTATAGCACATCCTGTGGACCATGCTAAGGACTTTGGACCTTGAAGATAATTTAGGTGAGGGTTCACAAGGTGGACCAAAAGTGAAAAGCGCCAGATGAGTGAAACTAGTTGGAAGAGACTAGTAAAACTAGTCTCCTTGTGGACACTCTAGTTCTGCAGAATGATAAACATGCTGAGGACCTAACGGTCATGTGTCTTTTTATTTTGTCATCTTGTGACCGTTTTCATTCTTCCTTTTTCCCCTTGTCAAATACCTATACCACCTCCAAGAGCTGGTTTGGGGGTAAGTTCCTCTCCAAAAAATATGCTTCTGTGAGAGGCAGCCCACCATGAAAGCAAGAGCACGGAGTTGGAAGTCTGACCTGCCCAGCCTTCAGTAAAGTCGTCTTGAGAGACTCAGTCTTTCTGAGACTGTTACCACAGCTCTACAATGGGAATAATATTACCCAGCATGCAAAGTGGATATGGAAATTTAGATGATACTCTGAAATACTTTATAAACCTCTCTAAATAGTATCTATTTGTGCTAAATTGCTTCAGTCGTGTCCAACTCTTTGTGAGCCGGTATCCTGCCAGGATCCTCTGTCCATAGGCTTCTCCAGGCAAGAATATGGAGTGGGTTGCCATGCCCGCCTCCAGGGGATCTTCCCAACCCAGGGATTGAACCCAAGTCTCTTGCTTCTCCTGAATTGGCAGGTGGGTTCTTTACCCCTTGCGCCACCTAGGAAGCCCAGGGTCTGTTTAAGGAGTTTGATATTTCAAAGCCTCCTCACTTCCCCCACCTCAAGAAGACTGAATACGGCATTCTCCACTTTCCCTTAGCAATCTAAGCCTGCCTCTACACAAACACTGCCTGCCACCTTAGGTTGCAATGGCGTTAGGTCATGGGTAAAAGTCTGTAGCTTTCTCCTGCTTCAACCAATGCTGCTTTCTTGCCAATTAGGGTAGGATTTCCATATCCTAACCTCTAGAACCTTGTGAAAATATCACCTTATAGAGCAAAAAAATATATTTCACAGGGTCCTTTTAGGAGGTGAGCAGGGTGTAAGTAGAAGGGTCAGAGGTGATAATAAAAGCAGAAGTTCGAGTGATGTAGTTTGAAGACAGAGGTAGGTGCCAGGAGTTGTGGAATGTAGGTGTCTTCTTGAAACTGAGAAAGTCGAGGAAATGGATTGTTGCCTAGAACCTCCAGAAGGAAGTCAGCTCTGAGGACACTTTCCAATTAGCCTGTAAGCCCCATTTTTGGCTTGTGACATCTAGAACTGTATGATAACAAATCCATGTTGTTTAAACTAGAGTCTTTTTGGTACTTTGTTATAGAAGCAAGGTAACTTGCTTCTGTAATACACCCATTACATTGCATACATGGGTGCAAGGTAATGCACCCATCTTTCAACACCATCCTTTCTTCCCTTAGTATAGTAGTGTCTTCTCAAAGAATAAATGAAAATACCATCTGTATCTCTCTTAATTTCCACAGCTGTTTAACACACAACCTCAATACCTCCAATATGACTCATGGGCCAGTGACAAACTGCAAGTAAGGTTTTGCTGAACCTGCGAATATTGAGGAAAATGTCTATTAAAAACATTTACCTGCTCAGAGCAAAACTCTTGGTATCTAAATGGAGTGTAATAAGAACCAATTCTGTAAGCTTGCCAAATGTGGGATTTATTACGAGTATTAACATGAGCACAAGAACTGATTTTCTTTTTTTGGGCCATGCCCCACGACAAGTGGGATCTTAGTTTCCTGACCCAGGGTTGAACTCGTGCCTCCTGCATTGGAAGTGTGGAGTTTTAACCACTGGGTTCCGAGAGAAGACCCCAAGAACTGTTTTTAACGTTTCATTTTTGTGAAATGTCAACATTATCAAAGGACCAATAATGAGTAAAATATTTTAATGTCATGCTCTGGAATACATTTCCATTAAGTAGTGGAGAATTCTAGTTTCATTTTTATCAATTTTCTATCCTAGGGTGCAGTATAAATTTTAAGGGGATAAAAGCAGAGTCCACAATATTTAATTTTTTTTAGACATGCAGCCCAGAAAGTTTAAGTGCAATTAATATTTATTGGTAAAGTTAATGTGACATTAATAAGTAAATAAGTAGTTATTAAGAAACATAATCACAGAAATATGCAAATTATATCAGCCAACATATACTAAGTAAAACCAGTCTTTATTAAACCAAATCTTTTCAAAATATATTTTTGCTTAAAATTCTGTAGATTTTTCTTCATATGAAATTGTGATATGTCAATGTTATTTCTTTGCTCTATTGAGGCATAGTGACCATCAAAACTTCATTTCTTTTATTTATGTAGAGTTTCAAGGATAATAAAAACATCAGATGATTTGTTTTCCAAAAGTAGATTGAAAATTTAAAAAAGAAGAAGAAGAAACATTTTCTATAGCAAAAGTAGAGATTTAGGCAGCTAACTCTTCAAAAGCCTCTTGATGATTTTCTTAGACAGAGGATTCTGTTGGTCCAGGCAAATTTTCCTCCCCGTCTTCAGCGTAGCTCTGCCAGAGAAAGAAGAGAGGTGCGTTTCAGTCCTCGGGGTTTGGATTTAGAATTAGGCTGGCGGGGAGGCGGCGGGGCTTAGAGGGATGGTGGGGAAGGGGAGAGCAGAGGGTGGGCACGAAAGCAGCAAGCTCCAGGACTCACATCAGTTGGGGGCTGGGGCAGTGAAGCCCGGCCCCGATCACTTCCAGGCTGGAGATGTGCCTGGGGTGAATCCCCGAAGTGGTCTTCAGGCACACGCATTGCAGATCCTCCTCTCCACCTTCAGAGTCCACTGGGGGCGGGACAAAGGTGGCAGGGAATGACGACTCTGTGAATAGTCAGAGGGACCTTGGGGATCTTCTCACTGCCTTGGACCTTCATTTCCTCATCCACAAACCACATCTCTCTTAAAGAGTATTGCCGGCTAGGTGATCAAGTGTACCCGGCAGCAGGTGGCACCGCGCTTTCACACGTAGCGAGAGCTCGGGAAATCCTAGCTGGGATCCGGAGATTACGGACTCCGTTCCCGGGACTTGCCGGCCTCTCTGCGGCCCCGACCTCTCCCCGCCCTGCTTCCGTCAGCGCTCACCTTGGGCGAGGACGATGGCCGGCAGGAGCAGCAGCCCCAGGAGAAGCAGCCCCGGGCTGGACCGCGGGCGGAAGGCGCGGGGTCCGACTGCCGGGTTCATCGCGCTCAGGAGTGACCGCCGGAGCCGAGAGCCAGCGCGCGGGCAGCAGGGCTGGGGCTCCGCAGACTCGTGGTTCCCCACCCTCTCCAGACCCATTTTATCCCCGCCGTCTGTCCGCTTCTTCGGAAGCTTGGGGTGGAGGATGGGGAACCGCGGTGCGGAAACGGACACTTCTGCAGAACTGGGCTCTGGGCAGAGAAGATTAGGGGAGAAAAAAGATTAGGGGAGAAAAAAAGCCAGAGATCCGCAGTCTCACTGGGAGCTGGTGGCAGGATCCAACCCCCACCTTGAATTCACATCCATTGGTACAGTTAGAAATAGTACTTCAACCTTATAACAATGCCTTTATTATTCATTTATTTATTGGCTGTGCTAGATCTTCCCTTGCTATGTAAGGGCTTTCGCCGATTGCAAGCAGGGGCTACTCTTCCTTGCAGGGCTGGGGAGCCTCTCATTACAGTGGCTTCTTTTGTTGGAAAGCACCAGCCCTAGACACAGGGGCTTGAGTAGTTGCAGTGCATTGTGCGGAGTTGCCCTGCAGCATGTGGAATCTTCCTGGATCATGGGTGGAACCTGTGGCCCCCTGCATTGGCAGGTGGATTCTTAACCGCTGGATCACCAGGGAAGTCCCTAAAAGTGTCTGTTGTCTTTGTTATGCGCAATAGTAGACGCACTCTGCAGTCACTATTTCACAATTTGTGAGCAGGAGTTTCTGTTTCCTTCTCCCAACTGCCTCCTCACTGCCTCAAGAACTGCTCCTTCACTTCTGTTTCTTGTGGATGACCATTGAGTTGAACGTGGCATCTGTGTGTCTTCAAGATGTGCGTTTTGTCATGGTGTTCTGCTGCTGAAAAGTTGACTTTGGTCTCCAGGTGAGGACTTGGTTCCAGAAGTTAGGTGAATGTGGAAAGCTTCCTCAGTCTCTTGAATGGGATCTCCCCAGCTCTATCAACCATCAACCAACACAGCCTAGGAAGCAAAATCTGTTGTCCTCATAAGTCCTCTCATTCTAAGAAGAATTGTAACATGAATATTTGGATGCATTCTTTCTGTAAGAACTTTACTGCCCAGGTATTTCTTGATTTTGCTCACCCTGGAAGAGAGACTAAGGAGAGCGATCAGGTCTTCCAGCCCCTGCTGCCACCAGGGGACAGGGTGACGTGGGTTACACTGTTGGCAGGAACAGTGGTGATCTCAGGAGGACACAGAGCATCTGGGAGCTGGCTGTGGAAAAGATGCACCGGAATCCTGCACAAAAAAGTTCAGGGATCAATGTGGACTGATCTCTGCTGGCCTCAGAAGTAGGGTTTCAGTTCCTGGCCAGAGATTAAGGTCCGGCGGTGGTGGGGAGAGCACCAAATATTAGCCACTAGACTGATGGTCAGTGACAAGGCGCTGGCTTTTCAGCTTTGCACAAAAAAATTTCCACAAAGAGGAAAAGTAGTGAAACAAGTGAAGTGTTTCTTAGGAGGAAAGAAAGAGTAGAGTATGTGTGGATAGACACACAGGTGGACTTAGTGAGAGAGTCTTGCTCTCGTGGTAGTTTAAATCACTTACACGGGGCATTTCTTTCAGTTTTCTTTTGGCCAATCATTTTTATTTTCCTGGTTCAGAATCTGTATTTGGTATATCTCAGAATCCTCCCATGTGTATGCATGCATCACTTAACCAAGATGGATTCTGCTGAAGATGTCTATGGGTAGTTAGCATCACTTAATATGGAAGGGCACCTCCTTCCTTTTTGACTTCCAAGGAGCCTTTCTGTATATGACTGTGGCTCTGATCATGAACTCCTTATTTCAAAATTCAGACTTAAATTGAAGAAAGTAGGGAAAACCACCAGACCATTCAGGTATGACCTAAATCAAACCCCTTATGATAATACAATGTAAGTAACAAATAGATTCAAGGGATTAGACACAGTGCCTGAAGAACTATGGATGGAGGTTCATAACATTGTCCAGGATGCAGTGATCAAAATCATCCTCAAGAAAAAGAAATGCAAAAAGGCAAAAGAGTTGTTTGAGGAGGACTTACAAATAGCTGAGAAAAGAAGAGAAGTGAAAGGCAAAGGAGAAAAGGAAAGATATATCTATCTGAATGCAGAGTTCCAAAGAATAGCAAGGAGAGATAAGAAAAACTTCCTAAGTGAACAATGCAAAGAAATAGAGGAAAACAATAGAATGGGAAAGATTAGAGATCTTTTCATGAAAATTAGAGATACCAAGGGGACACTTCATGCAAAGATGGATACAATAAAGGACAGAAACGGTATGGACCTAACAAAAGCAGAAGATATTAAGAAGAGGTAGCAAGAATACATAGAATTATACAAAATAAGATCTTCATGACCCAGAGAGCCATGATGCTGTGACCACTCACCTAGAGATAGTCATCCTGGAATGTGAAGTCAAGTGGGCCTTAGGAAGCATCAATACGAACAAAGCTAGTGGAGGTGATGGAATTCCAGTTGAGCTATTTCAAATCCTAGAAGATGATGTTGTGAAAGTGCTGCACTCAATATACCAGCAAATTTGAAAAACTCAGCAGGGGCCACAGGACTGGAAGAGGGCAGTTTTCTTTCCAATCCCAAAGAAAGGCAATCCCAAAGAATGTTCAGACTACTGCACAATTGAACTCATTTCACGTGCTAGCAAAGTAATGCTCAAAATTCTCCAAGCGAGGTTTCAACAGTATGAGAACTGAAAACTCCCAGATGTACAAGCTGGATTTAGAAAAGGCAGAGGAACCAGAGATCAAATTGCCAATATCCATTGGATCATAGAAAAAGCAAGAGAATTCCAGAAAAACATCTATTTCTACTTCACTGACTACACTAAAGACTTTGACTCTGTGGATCACAACAAACTGGAAAATTCTTCAAGAGATGGGAATATCAGGCCACCTTACTTGCTGCTTGGGAAATCTGTATGCAGGTCAAGAAGCAACAGTTAGAACCGGGCATGGAACAACAGACTGGTTCCAAATTGGGGAAGGAGTTCATCAAAGCCGTATATTGTCACACTGCTTATTTAACTTATATGCAGAGTACATCATGCAAAATGCCAGACTAGATGAAACACAAGCTGGGATCAAGATTGCCGGGAGAAATATCAATAATCTCAGACATGCACATGACACCACCCTTATGACAGAAAGAGGAGTGGAACTAAAGAGCCTCTTGATGAAAATAAAAGAGGAGAGTGAAAAAGCTGGCTTAAAACTCAGCATTCAAAAAATGAAAATCATGGCATCCGGTCCCATCACTTCATGGCAAATAGATGGGGAAAAAATGGAAACAGTGGGAGACTTTATTTTCTTAGGCTCCAAAATCACTGCAGATAGTGCCTGCAGCCATGAAATTAAAAGATGCTTGCTCCTTGGAAGAAAAGCTATGACCAAATTAGACAGCATATTAAAAAGCAGAGACATTACTTGCCAGACAAAGGTCTGTCTAGTCAAAGCTATGGTTTTTCCAGTAGTCATGTATAGATGTGAGAGTTGGACCATAAAGAAAGCTGAGTGCCAAAGAATTGATACTTTTGAATTGTGGTGTTGGAGAAGACTCTTGAGAGTCCATTCGGCAGCAAGGAGATAAACCAGTTCATCCTAAAGGAAATCAGTCCTGAATATTCATTGGAAGGACTGATGTTGAAGCTGAAGGTCCAATACTTTGGCCATTTGATGCAAAGAATGACTCATTTGAAAAGACCCTGATGCTGGGAAAGATTGAAGGCAGGAGGAGAAGCAGATGACAGAGGATGAGATGGTTGGGTGGCATCACCGACTCAATGAACATGAGTTTAAGCAAGCTCCAGGAGTTGGTGATGGACAGGGAAGCCTGGTGTGCTGCAGTCCATGGGGTTGCAAAGACATGACTGAGTGACTAAACTGAACTGAGTTCAGAGAGGGCTCCTGACTTAGAGAAGGAGAAATATGTGGCCTCTCATCTTCTATATGGGCACGGCCCAGCCTCCTCCCTTCAGTGTTCTTGCTATTTCTGTCTTGGGGTATCAGTCCACAGAAACTGTGGACTCCAGCTCTTTGCTTCGGGGCCCTTCTATCTCCTGCCTCAAGACCATCTTCCCTTCCCTTAGAATGAATGACTTTGGTTTTGATTAGGGAAAAATACACCCTCATCTCAAAGCCAGAGGCTCTCTGTCATACTGATTAACTGTGGTGAAGGGCCTTGGAAGCCCAATGCATGGACCAAGTTGACCTCTTAAGGCTCAGCAGGACCTGACCTCTGCAGGGATGTGCAGTTGAATTCCTAGACCTGGAATGTGCTTTCTTACTTTCTCACCACCTGTCCTTTCATCTAGCTAAGTTCTCCTCATATTTCTGGTGTCAGCTGAAATCTTAGCTCCCCCTAGGCATCTTCCCTGATAGCTAAAGCAACTCATGTTCCCTTTTGTTGTCATGTAGACCCACTGCTTCTCCTGTTTGCCACAGCTCATATAAACACACGCACATGATACTCACACAAGACATGCATATATATTTAAATGTGTTTAAAATGGTTTTTCTTCCTAAATGAAAAGCTCCATGAGCTGTGAGATAATATTGTCTATCACTATTCTAACTCCCTGCTAAAAGGAAAAGTGAAGTGTTAGTCGCTCAGTCATGTCAAACTCTTTGAGACCCCCTGGACTGTAGCCCACCAGGCTCCTCTGTCCATGGGATTCTCCAGGCAAGCATACTAGAGTGGGTTGCCATTGGCTTCTCCGGCTCCCTGGTAGGGACTCAACATAAAGCACTACATTAGTGAAGATGATGAATGTTGAAAATGATAATGATGAGGCTTTGACATGTTCAAGTGCCTGTTTCTTGTGCAGTAGGAGCATACCTCTATACTCACGTGTGATTGTAATTATTTGTCAGCCTGTCTGCATCTCTCACCAGACAGTTATCTCTTCAAGGGCAGCTCTCCATGACTTATAGTCTTTGACTACCCAGCATCTTCACAATGGCCAGTACAGCATGTGGTGTAAGTCACATTTATTTGTGGAACTGCAACTTGAGATCCCATCTGGGTTAGCACAGAGGGAATGGATAGAAGAGTGGTTTAGCGTATGGGTGGGCAACATACTGGATTTGTACAATCTGACCCTCAGATTTCAATGTTTGCAGTGTAAAGAAACCCATGGAGTAGTGGCAGTTAATTCATTCTCTCTCTGTGTCTAAAGAGAATAATTCAATATGTGCATGCAAAAGTAAAAGACATATGCATAATGAAGGAGGTATTAGCATAGTGTAAAAACTATGTCATGTCTCAGGAGGTGGCCTTCCTGGATTTCAGTAAGAGATCCTAGAGAAATGAATGAGATGCTGAGCTATTTTAAATTATTGGTGAAAAACTGATGACCCTGAGTGCTTTATTTATTATATGTTTATTTATGTGTATTATTTGTTAACTATTACTTAATAAGTTACTTACTTATTACTTAATAAATGTGTTTATTTTGTACACAAAACATTCAAGGCATTAAATCTATAATGATGAGAACATAATAAAAAGAAACCTAATAATGCATAGATTGTGAACTAAACGCGTCATACATGAGTGCTCCTTAAACTGTGTGCAGGTTGGAGTAGATGAGCTGATGTCTTCTATAATCATCATAGGATGTCTAGTATGCTATTTATGTATCAAGTCTTATTTTCTGTATCAATAACATTATGTGAAACATAATATAATCTCTTCATTAGAGAAAGAAAAATCAAACAAAGTGATAAGATGCTGTGGTTACTAGCATAGTTTCAAATCATCCCTCTGTCACCTACTTAGTTTCTGAGGCAAATTTCCTAATTTCTTTGAACTTCGATTTTCTTCTCTGTAGCACCACTGTTGCTGCTGCTGCTAACTCGCTTCAGTCGTGTCCGACTCCGTGCAACCCCATAGACGGCAGCCCACCAGGCTCCCCCGTCCCTGGGATTCTCCAGGCAAGAACACTGGATGGGTTGCCATTTCCTTCTCCAATGCATGAGAGTGAAAAGTGAAAGTGAAGTCGCTCAGTCATGTCCAACTCTTAGCAACCCCATGGCCTGCAGCCCACCAGGCTCCTCCGTCCATGGGATTTTCCAGGCAAGAGTACCAGAGTGGGTTGCCATTGCCTTCTCCTTGTAGCACTGGGGATGCTAATTATAATAATAATAAATACTAACATTGGCCTATGGATTATTGTGTGACATGGATTATTTTCAGCACTTTGAATTTATTAGCTCTTAATTTTCACATCAACTCCATAAGATAAGCAATATTATTATGCCATTTTAGAAATGAAGAAACAAGGCACAGTTTATGCAACCTGACCAAAGTTACACTGCTAGTAAGTGGTGGACTAAGTTACCCAGTTATTCTCTCTTTAGAGGATGTGCTGTTAACCACATCATAGCTATCTTGTAAGAATTTAATTCTTTACAACTATTTAATTATAATGCATGCAAAACAATTATTTTCTCTGGTATATTAATATTGTTATTAATATAATAATATCAATAGTTATTAATAAAGTTTAGCTATTACTATAGTACATTAAAAACAGTACAAATCAACAACTAGTGAATTTTGTTGTCCATATTGTTAAATACCAAAGTTTTTAAAAAATAAAAAGATAATTAAGGCTTTTCCCCTAATAATTCTGTTAAAAGTAATAATATATGACAACAAAGCAATAATAAGTTTGATTTTATGTTAATATTTCTGTAAGAATAGTATGGGTATATTTTAAGGGATTAGAGTGAAAGAAATTCTGTTGACTATAAAATAATAATTAGTAGTCTGGTAAACTTTAAATTCTCTTTTGACCTTATTTGCAAGGCTTATTCTAATACAGAAAATATAACCATGTAGATATTAAGTAAGCAAAAATGTACAAACATGTTGGGGTAAAATCTTCAACACCAAGGAGAATCTGTTGTTATTATTAAAAATACTGTATCATTGAAGATATATATGATATCATATGCCATCACATATTGTTTGCTCTACTGGTATTAAATGTATTTAAATTAAATGGTATTAAATTACTTTAAAGTAAATAACCACTGCTCACAAGACTCACATTGTACAATTTTATTATTATTAGGTTTTGAAGGCTAAAGTAAACACAGGAAAAATCTTTCAGGTGATGTTTTGAAACAAGACATCCTAGGACTAACACAGTGAAAAATCTATTAAATCCCTAAATGTATTAATAAACATTTATTGAGCAAGTGCTCCATGCTGGGCTCTGTATTGTTTCTAATATCACTGACTATTATGGAATCCTTGTGGTCATGTCTAGTCTATCAGTACGGTGGAGCATGATAAGTTAAGACAAATGTATTTGGAAAGAAACTTAAAGAAAGAAATGCTAAACACATTACCACATTTAGCCAAGAGTAAGGGAGTAAATCATATATTGTATTTTGAAATAAGCCTTGGTTACTTTCTTTTTTTTAGTAATTTTTAAAATGTTTACACTATTTTAAAAGGTTACTTTCCATTTACAGTTATTACAAAATATTTGTTATATTCCTCCTGTTATACAATACATCCTTGAGACTGTCTTACAGCCATGCTTACTTTTATCTTCTCCCTGTCATCTATTAACCAGCCATCTCAGAGCAAATTGTGACTTTTTGAGACAGAATGGAAAACATATCCAAAGTTTAATACAGTATGACTAGGTATCCTGGATAAATAAGAACTCTAGAAAGCCAAGATTTCAACTTCTGTTCTTCTTGGGAGATGACAAGTTTTGACAGAAAATGAAAAAGATTAAGCAGCTGACCCACCATCTTCCAATATTTTCTGGACGATTTTCTTGATTTTGGGGGCTTCCGGATCCAGGCAGATTTTCTTCCCATTCTTCAGCATGGCTCTGCAAGAGAGTAGCATTATTTGTGAGCATCCTGGCACATTATCAGAAGGGATCCAGCAGTGGTGGTAGGGATGGAGATGGAGGGCTTCCTTAGGGAGGCAATACTAGAGAAGCAGAGACTTACATTACTTCGACTTTGGCGCAATGGGGTCCTGCCCTGTTGACCTCCAAACTTTGGATGTTACTGGGATGAATGCCAGAGGTGGTCTTTATACACAAGCATCGAAGTTCAATATGTAGCAATCTCTCCTTACTGCTAACTAGGGCAGAAGATATGATTCTATTAGTGGTCATGATTATCTCCTAGATCTTATCTATTGATGAGTACCTCCCTCACAAGGCCATTTGTGAATATGATCGACCTTTCCCCCTTTACTAAAGGACCTAGCAGATTTCCTGGCACAGGTCAAGTGCCCACAAAGTACAGCGTCTCCATTTGTAATTATTCATATAGTGCCCTTCTCTAGTCCCTGGGGCACCAAGGCAGTCCCTCCCCCAGACACAGCTGCAGCAGAAGCAGCCTCAGGTTAGGAGAAGCAGAGAGTCTACTATTCACCTCTCCCTAAAGTTTCTCTTACGTTTTCCAGTGGTGGAGGGAACCAGCATCGTCAGAAGCAGCGACATCAGCAGCAACACCTGTAGGACAGGAAGTGGGCCGGGCGCGGTACATGAGGAGGTGGCGTCAGGTCTGAGGCTCATGGTGGAAAAGACTTGAGTTAGAGTTGTTCCCAGGAGGATGACCTGCCGCTCAGGAGTCTACAGCTAAGTGGTTTTCACAGTCGCCTGATGTCTTTTATACACCCTGCCTCAAGGCCAGTAAGGAGAAGAAGGATAGGAATGGGGGAAGTGAGGGTGTGTGGTAACACAAGTGTAAGAGTGGTCAACTTGTGCCCAACCCAGATAAATGCCAGGCAAGTCAAATTCCTGCTAAATTTCATTTGCTTCATCCCTGCACATGCTCGCTCCCCCTTTCTCAATATCCATCTGCCTTTCACATATTTAGGCAAGAACTACACTGAAATATTACATATATTTTCTTTGAATAATTAGGTAATATGCCCTGCCTTTCCTATAATGCAATTTAGAGGCCTTATAGACATTTTAGCTGTATCTGAAAGCATTAATGTGTGGCCCTTGGAAGAGAGAGTTATCTGCCCTTTCCAGTTGCCAAGGAAAGCAGATGTTCCTATCTTGGTTGTTGATAAGTGCTGGGATTTGTTTGGAGTATGTGAATAAAACAGGAGCCAATTATCATCAAAACTTAATGTTATGTATTAGTTTATGGACTCCTTTCTGTCTTCCAAATGTATTATCTTTTACAATTTTATCCAGAAACTAGAAGCAAACTCATCTTCTTCTGTATTATAAAATAAACTACTTTTTACTTTTTTCTGTCATCTGAGTCCACTTTAGAAAATAAGACTCAATAGTTTTATTTTTCCTTTTATTATTAATCTAACAGAGAAATGTATGATACAATTCACTGTAAAAGATTTATAAACTGCAGATAAAACATACAAGTTCCTCTTCATCATTGCTCCACATTCTGGGTCTCCAATGGTAACGATTGGTAAAAATTTGGCATTAGTTTTCTATTCTATCTACATTTATATATACACATATACATAGAACCACATATATAATACATAAAGATATACATATATAAAGAGAGATAGACATAGATCATTTTTTATACAAGTGGACTTATTATACAGCTTTTTTTCTTTAGAACTATGTCTTCATCATCCTTTCATGTTACTTCAATGTCATTTTTCTCCATTACTTTCAATGTCTGCATAATATCCTATAGACAGGTAATTGTCATCCAACTTTATCCTACTGGCAACCTTGTAGGTGTTCCAGTTTTGCGCTTATGGATTGCACTAAGATCTTTATTAAAGTCTCAAACTCTAATTAAGGGTCTTGATTTCAAACTGCACGTGATATGGACAAAGCCTGGCATATGTACAGAAGGAAGCCCACATATCATATACTGGCTTTTGGTTTTGGGTTCTTTTTTTCAAGATTTTAAAAAATGACATTTCTTAAAAGTTCAGTTCAGTCCCTCAGTTGTGTCTGACTCTTTTCGACCCCATAGACTGTAGCACGCAAGGCCTCCCTGTCCATCACCAACTCCCGGAGTTTACTCAAACTCATGTCCATTCAGTCGGTGATGCCATCCAATTATCTCATCCTCTGCTGTCCCCTTCTCCTACCACCTTCAATCTTTCCCAGCATCAGGGTCTTTTCCAATGACTCAGTTCCTCCCATCAGGTAGCCAAAGTATTGGAGCTTCAGCTTCAGCATCAGTCCTTCCAGTGAATATTCAGGACTGATTTCCTTTAGGATGGACTGATTGGATCTCCTTGCAGTCCAAGGGACTCTCAGGAGTCTTCTCCAACACCACAGTTCAAAAACATCAATTATTTGGCTCTGAGCTTTCTTTATGGTCCAACTCTCACATCCATACATAACTACTGGAAAAACCATAGCTTTGATTAGACAGAACTTTGTCAGCAAAGTAATGTCTCTGCTTTTTAATATGCTGTCTAAGTTAGTCATAGCTTTTCTTCCAAGGAGCAAGCGTCTTTTAATTTCATTGTTGCAGGCATTATCTGCAGTGATTTTGGAGCCTAAGAAAATAAAGTCTCTCACTGTTTCCATTCTTCCCCCATCTATTTGCCATGAAGTGATGGGACTGGATGCCGTGATTTTCATTTTTTGAATGTTGAGTTTTAAGTCAGCTTTTTTAGTCTCCTCTTTTACTTTCATCAAGAGGCTCTTTAGTTCTTCTTCGCTTTCTGTCATAAGGGTGGTGTCATCTGCATATGTGAGGTTATTGCTATTTCTTCCACTGATCTTGACTCCAGCTTGGGCTTCATCCAGCCCAGCATTTCTCATGATGTACTCTGCATATAAGTTAAATGAGCAGGGTGACAATATACAGTCTTGATGTACTCCTTTCCTGTTTTGGAACTAGTCTGTTGTTCCATGTACAGTTCTAACTGTTGCTTCTTGACCTTCATATAGATTTCTCAGGAGGCAGGTCAGGTGGTCTGGTATTCCATCTCTTTAAGAATTTTCTACAGTTTGTTGTGATCCACACAGTCAAAGTCTTTAGCGTAGTCAATGAAGCAGAAGTAAATGTTTTTCTGGAACTCTGTTGCTTTTTTGATGATCCAACAGATGGCAATTTGATCTGGTTCCTCTGCCTTTTCTAAATCCAGCTTGAACATCTGGAAGTTCACAGTTCATGAACTGCTGAAGCCTGGCTTGGAGAATTTTGTATATTACTCTGCTAGTGTGTGAGATGAGTGCAGTTGTGCGGTAGTCTGAGCATTCTTTGTCATTGCCTTTCTTTGGGATTGGAAAGAAAATTGACCTTTTCCAGTCCTGTGGCCACTGCTGAGTTTTTCAAATTTGCTGGCATATTGAGTGCAACACTTTCACAGCATCATCTTTTAGGATTCGAAATAGCTCAACTGAAATTCCATCACCTCCACTAGCTTTGTTTATAGTGATGCTTCCTGAGGCCCACTTGACTTTGCATTCCAGGATGTCTGGCTCTAGATGAGTGATCACACCATCATGGTTATCTGGGTCATGAAGATCTTTTTTGTATAGTTCTTCTGTGTATTCTTGCCACCTCTTCTTAATATCTTCTGCTTCTGTTAGGTCCACACATTTCTTAAAAGTTAACATGTGCATAAGAGGAAACTGAAAAACACAAGCCATAATCACAAGCAGTTTACCGTTTGATACTAAGCATCCATTTTTATGTAAATAAGATCATGCAGTTATGTATCATGCTTTCTCACACATCACGAATACTTACCCACTTACCCACTTTCACTATCCCACAGCTATATGAGTATTTTGATAGCCAAGAATATACTATACCAGCTCAATGCAGGAAAAAATAATGTAATCCTGCCTTGGCAACAAATATTTCACAAGAGACAAAAATGGCAACATCTCTCTAGATAAAGATATTGGTAGCATTGTGATTAAAACACTACATTCCCTTAGTGCTCAATTAAAAATGGGATATAGAGCAACAGAGTACACGAAGTATAATGCTTCTAAGAGGATTCATTATCCAAGCTAAACTATTAAAGTATTATCGAGGAAGTATGTTTCCATTGAATTTCTTAACAAAATGTTCTTATGATACAGCCTAGAGATGTACACGCATCAGTGGTTATCATCTAAATACAAGTATGACACACCCATATACATCCCTCCTTTTATACTTCCTAATGCTCATCTGCTGCCAACCTAATGAACAAGTCCTGATGTATATTTCTCAGAGATGGTTTAACCATTCCATATCCAAGATGATTTATTTTTATCAATTATAGCAACAATATTTGGACTTCCCTGGTGGCCCAGAGGTTAAGATTCTGCTCTCCAAACGTAGGGGCCAAGGGTTCAATCCCTGGTCAAGAAAGATCTTGCATGCCTCATGGCATGCCAAATATATATATATTTATATATACATGTGGGCTTCCTGGGTGGCGCTAGGGGTAAAGAATCTGCCTGCCAATGCAGGAGGTGTAACAGACAGGGGTTCAGTCCCTGGGTCAGGAAGATCCCCTGGAGGAGGGCATGGCAACCCACTCCAGTATTCTTTCCTGGAGATTCACCATAGGCAGTGAAGCCTGGCAGGCTACAGTCCATGGGGTCCACCAGAGTCAGACATGACTAAAGCAACTTAACATGTGTGCATATATATGCATACATATATATATATATGAAGTGAAAGTCACTCAGTCATATCCGATTCTTTGTGATCCCATGAACTATACAGTCCATGAAATTCTCCAGGCCAGAATACTGGGGTGGGAAGCCATTCCCTCCTTCAGGGGATCTTTCCCACCCTGGTATCAAACCCAGGTCTTCTGCATTGCAGGTAATTCTTTACCAGCTGAGCTACCAGGGAAGCCTATATATATGTATATATAATATACATTATATATATAATTATACATTATATATATAATTATACATTATATATAATATACATTATATATTTATTATATATACACATATATATTTTGTTGTTTAGTCGCTGAGTTGTGTCTGACTCTGTGACCCCATGGACTGCAGCCCACCTGACTCCTCTGTCCATGGTAATTCTCCAGGCAAGAAACAAAGATATTTACAAATTGGTTAATTCATTAGCTCTACTTTTTATCATATACTGTCACCTCAGGACATCTAAAAATCTTAGATATTGCAAAATAATGAACCTTGTCCACAATAAACATAGGTACTTTATAAAAATGAACATATAAATCTACGGTTACAACCTAAAACTGCCTTCAAGATATGGAAACGTTAGCCAGGAGCCCTTCCCTTCGCCCTTTCTCTTACCCCTCCTCCAGCATTCTGGGGGAGAGCACTACATCTAGCTCCAAGAGGTGATTAACAGAGACACTCCCAGAAAACTTGGGCTTCCCTGGTAACTCAGCTGGTAAAGAATTTGCCTGCAATGCAGGAGACCCTGGTTCAATTCCTGGGTCAGGAAGATCCCCTGGAGAAGGGCATGGCTATCCACTTCTGTATTCTGACCTGGAGAATTCCATGGACTGTATAGTCCATGGGGTTACAAAGAGTCAGACATGACTGAGTGGCTTTCAGTTTCACTCCCAGAAAACACAGTCCTTCCTAGAAACTAAGGAAAGG